TAGGATGAATGCTTTATTAGTGTCATTAAAATATTAGGAGAAAACAGAGGAGAGGTTGTTTCCTGGCTTTGGAAGGCTGGGAAGATGTTCACAGGGGGAGGTGCCTTCCAAGCTGAAGAGCAAGGAGAGTTTTTGAATTATTGGGGCCAGGAGGAAGGAGCATTCTAAGCAGAGGGGTCTGTCTGGGTCAGAGGCACGGGGAGTGGTGACATGTAATCAGGGGACGGAGAAGAGCCCAGTGTGTCCACACTGCAAGGTGGGTGTGCTCGTAGCTGGGACAGAGGCCAGAAGGCTTGGGAGGAGCCCTGGGGTCAGGGAGGAAGGTCTTTGTAGCAAATGCAATTCCAGGACATTCTCCTTAGAACATGGGTAGGGGAGGTTCTTTTGGATCCAAGGAACCGAGGCTTACACAGCCCCCTGAAGGGACTGGTTGGTGCTGTTCTGGTTACCATAGGGCATGCATAGCTGGAAGAAGACGGGAAAACTCCAAAGAACAAGGTGCTGCAGGCTGTCCTGTGCCTCCTCTCATTTCCATCTCCAGGGCTCTTTCCCCCGACCCCTCAGCTTTGCTGTGTTGTCTCTCCCCACACCTCTCTCACTCCTCTGCGTCTTCTAGTCCTGGGGACTTTTAACCTTTGTTCTAGGATTCTGTGTAGACACTGGAGGATGTGGAGAGGGTATGTGGCAGAACTGAGTGGGGAAACCAGGAAGTATGTACAAGGACTCAGCAGCTGAACCCCTTTAGCCGGAGCACCCCACATTGCCGTGTTATATACATTGACACCTAGGTAACTTCTGCTTCAAGAAAGTGTTCCGTGGCACAACTGCCGTGTGAAGACTCCACTCTGGTTTAAATCCAGGAGGGAGCCATAGTGCTTGGCTTAGCTAATTATCGTCATTTAAGTTGGGTAGAATCTTGTGCTCCTGTGTCCTTGTTGAACTGCCTGAGGGCATGGACAGGGACGGCTCATGCAAAGAACTCAGGCAGGGGGTTTTTAAACCCTGCGTGGGTGGGTAAGGTGTGGAAGACTCTTTCAACTCAAAGGGGATGTTGGACATGGCAGACAATGTGACTGGACTGTCCAGGCAAAACGCTGTGTTTAAAAGTGTGGCTTTTAGCCCCGAGCTCAGCATTTTTGCAGTCTTTCTAGAGAATGCTATTTTACAGAGGTTCAGTTATGCAAAACTTCCGGTTTTCTACAAAACTTGGACACATTGCCTACTCTGTCCCCTTCTTGGGGATTTGTGCATGTGAGTGTATTAAAAGCTGTGACAACTCTAAAGGGTGAAAACTCCAGAAACTGGTTACCCTAGAAGTGGAAGAATAAATCATTTTTAAAAGACTTAGATAACGATTTCATGATAGTAGACACTTAGTTGTGGGGTGGGAACTCCTCCCAAGTTAGTGAGAAGCCTCCTTACCTTTTTGGAAAAAAAATGCTGGCATTTCTATGAGTGCCCTTGTACATTCATTAGTTCGCCAAATATTTATTAAGGACCCACGGTGCCAGGCAAAACACTTAATTATGTGTTTGCAGGGCAAAAGTCCTTACCTCTTTATTATTGGGCTACCTTTTCCTGGAATATACAATTTTCAAGGCTCATTTTTAGAATGTGTTTCTGAGTATGAAAGAAAAAGAAGATGGTAGCACAAGTATTGAGCATTTTTAACCTCTGGTTACATGTCTAAAAATATCAAGTTTCAGGCTAACTCCTGCATCCCAAGTTCTTTCCCCTCCATTTCATGTCCATTCGATTTTCTTTTTTTTTTTTTTAAGATTTTATTTTATTTATTTTTTAGAGAGGGAAGGGAGGGAGAAAGAGAGAGAGAGAAACATCCATGTGCGGTTGCTGGGGGTCATGGCCTGCAACCCAGGCATGTACCCTGACTGGGAATCGAACCTGCGACACTTTGGTTTGCAGCCCATGCTCAATCCACTGAGCTACACTAGCCAGGGCGCCGTTCAATTTTCTAAACATGGAAATGTACCAGGCCCGGGTGGGCCGAGGGGTGCTGTCTAGTGCTTTCTCACAGGGCAGGGCGGGAACTGGTGGGAATCCGACATGCTCAAGAATCAGCACCAAGCTTGAGCATGAGGGTTCATGAAAGGATAGTGACTGAAAGGTTCTGTTCTGTAGTATTTAAAGGGAAACATTACCTAACATTTTTTTAAAGTTGGAAAGTTTACAGGAGCTAAAACTCCTCTTTTGGCTCATACCCCATTCCTCCTCCAAATTATAGGGTAGCTTATCCCACATGTCAATGTCTAAATAAATTGGTCTTCACTATTCTTGAATCCCTGACAGACATCACGCCTAAGAATGAATGTTTCGCGTTCTGCCACTTGGAGCACGTTACACACAGTACTCAGTGACACTGTCGCTGAATTCATTGGAAGGATACATGCAATGACTTTGGCACACCTCTGTGAACATTTCTTTTTAATTAGAGCTCATTTATGTTTTAGTAATAATTACACCTTTACATGGGTATCATTTGTGGTTTTCACATGACCTGCCTTGGGGAGTTGGCATGAGGATTCATACCAGTCAGGCAGTTAAAACTGCCTAGTGCACCCCGAGTAAGGGCTCACGCGCCGTCTCTGTCTGTGTCACTGAGTGAGTTTTGTGACAGTGTAACACTGTTTTACCAACGGGACCGTAGTGCTCAGAAGGCTGATCGCCTGGAACCACAGGCAGTGTCTGGACGACAGCCAGGTCTTCACATTCTTAGTCCTCTGCTCCCGGTTGTCCTTGTAACTGACACTTGGGGGATATTTCTTTCTTTTTAAAATTAATTTTTTAATGATTTTTCAAATGTTCCGTTACAGTTGACATGCAATAGTACATTAGTTTCAGGCGTAGAGCAGAGTGGGCTGACATTTGGGGTTTAGTATGTCCACACAGAAATGCGGGGGGATGCAAACACCTGGCCATGGCAGATAGTGAAGTGAGCACGTGTGAAAGGGCTCAGTGCCGTGCTGGGCGTGTGATAGGAAGCCCATTAAACAGATGCCCGTTCCTTTTTTTCTGTGCAGTTAATGGAGGTTACGACTCCCTCGTCTCTCTCCTCCTCCCCCTGCCCGCTGCTGATGCCCCAGGCAAGCCCTTTATCCCCAGATGCGCAGGCGCTTCCAGTCTTCCAGCAGTTGGATTTCTTAGTCAGCTCCGGCTGCCGTGACGAAGCACCGTAGACTGGTGATTCTCTCACCGTTCTGGAGGCTGGAACTCTGAGATCAAGGTGTGGGCAGGGTGGGTCTTTCTAAGGCCGCTCTTTGGCGTGTACACGGTCGCCTTCCCTGTCTGTCTGTACTCGGTCTTCCCTTTGCACGTGGCTGTGTCCTCATCTCCTCTTCTGATAAGGACACCAGCCCTGTTGGGTCTGGGCCCAATGTACTGACCTCATTGTAATTGAATTGCCTTTGAAAAAGACTGTCGTCAAATGCGGTCACATTCTGGGGGCCGAAGGTCTCAACGTAGGAATTCTAGGGCATATGCTCAGCCTGTAGCAGTGTGTAGCGAGGAAGAGCAGCTTGGCCTCAGAGCTCCAGCCCCATATGCTCCCAACCCCTAATCAGAACCTTTGTGTTATCAAAACCCGTTATCACTCAGTGCGCTCAGTCCACAAAACAGGCGAGAGTATGATCGGGTTCCTTCCTTAGGGAGTGGGGGAAGGGCAGGTGGGGCCTGTTCTGTGGCAGGCACTACTACGCTGGGTTGCTAGCAGGTGCCTCTCAGATACCATATCCCTAAATCTCCACATTGCAAGGACAGGGTAGGCGTAATTGCCTACATTTTACAGGGAAAGAAGGAGACATTAAGTTACTTGCCCCAGGCACACAGTGGCTTTGTGATTTTTGTCACGTGACACTCCCGTGGCGCAACGATGTCAAGGATTGACGTAAGGAGCCCTATGGGTGAAGGAGGGAAGCTGACCTGATGGTTCACTTGAGAATTAAAAACCAAACGCAAGGCTGATCAAACAAAGAAAGACAATTGGGACAAACTTTTTTTTTTTCCAGGAAGGTTTAAGGCTGTTGGAAGAAAAAGGCACTGAGTTCCAAAGGGAGAGAGGAAAGGCTCTGTGTCAGCCACTTCCCTCCATGCTCACCCCTCAGCCTATAAATAAATTGTATTTATCCCACAGCTTTAATCCATTTCCGGGATTTTCTGATTATTCCCCCCTAGCTAGGGGCAGCGTGATGTGGTGATTGAAAAGCGGAACTCTGAAATGAGATCATCAGGGGTCAGATCTTAGCTGTGTGGTCTCAGGCGAGTCTCTGAGACCTCAGTTCCCTCTGCTGGAAGGAAGGGAGGGAGGGAGGGAGGGAAGAAGGAAGGGTGGGCAATAAGAAGTTCTGGTGAGATTGTTATTATGAACATTGAGTCAATCTGTGTGAAAGTGCTCCAGTCTGCACCTGGAACCTAGTGAGCCTCAGAAAGGGTGACCTGTTGCCTGTATAGAAAACAAGACCCATAAAAGCAAGAACCTTTGGGTATTTTCCGAGGTATGCTTCGAATGCTCAAAGGTGCCTACTGGGCAGGTAATAGACATTCATTCATATTTGTTGTATGAATAAATGAATGCAACTATGCTAGACCCTGATCAATCTGTGATGGAGAGGAAGTACCTGCACTCAGAGTTTTTGTCTGTTGGTTGTTGGAAGCCATAAGTCCACTGGTGGAGAGATCAAGAGAAGGGAGTGAGGCGGGGGAGGGGTGGGACAGTTTTTCTCAGTCTCCTGAGTGGCAGGAGAGCTCTAGGTTGTCTGGTTGTGTGTCCCTCCCATCCTTCTGTGTCCCCTCTAGATCTGGGGGTGGAGTCACTCTCTGGGGGCCCTGGGCTCCGACAGGGTGGAAACCACCCACCGCCATGGAAATGTTTGAGTGGCACTCTGCTTCCTGCCGAGCTTCCATTCTGTCTCTGCCCCCCCAGGATTGGTTTAATCACTTGTGTTGTCACCAAGATTTCTAAAATGATTGCCAAATTTTCTTTGCAGGCTCAGGCTGCATGAAGAGAAGGTCATTAAAGACAGGCGACATCACCTCAAAACCTACCCAAACTGTTTTGTGGCCAAAGAACTGATTGACTGGCTGATTGAGCACAAAGAGGCTTCTGACAGAGAGACGGCGATTAAACTCATGCAGAAATTGGCAGACCGGGGCATCATTCACCACGGTGAGTGAGGTGGCAGTCAGGGTCACTTGGGAAGTGGAGGACTACATCTTGTATTCCAGACTTGAGCCTACCCATTTAGGAAATGAAACATTTTACTTTAATTGTCTCCTGTGTACCTTTCCCCAGCTCCATTTCCTTCCTCCCTCTAAGAGGCATTTGGGTTTATTTCCATGGGCTTCTGTATACTTTTCCTTTCTGTATATGCATCTCTTAGCAACATATCATTTTATGTTAAGTGTTTTAAATCATTATGGCAATGCAAGTTTATTGTCTTGTGTGGGGAGACGCATCCACATTGATAGTATATCTCCTGCTTTCTCACTTTCGCCTCTGCGCACGCCTGTGCAATTGTGCCATCACACATTTCTCCATGGCCATTTCAGTTGTTTCCAACGTTCTGCTGTTACTCTCAAGGGTGGGAAGGATATTCATGAACACATCTCCTTGAGATCTCTAACCCTCAAAAACCTATCCCAGGCAAAGATCTTTCACATACCGTACTTTGCCATGTAAATGCACACACACATCCTAGTACTGCCCATGTAGAATGCTCATCCTTATTTTCCCCTCAAATTTGGGCACAAGGTGCACATGACACATGGCAAAATATGGTATTCTTTTTCTCTTGGCCTGGCATGCCCAATTGCTACTCATTGTTCAGGTCTCCACTTACATGCACACTTTTCCGAGAAGCATCCAGTCCCCAAATCCAGGTTACTGGGTACTGGGTAACTCCTCCTTGGATCTCCCAGTATCTCCTCACCTCTCCCAAAGCCCCATCACACTGTATTTTAATTACACATTGACATTTCTCTTTATTGCGTTAGATTTCACATTCTTTGTGGTTGATGCCTGCCCCAATATCATGCTCAAGCAGAGTTTATGGAATGAATGATGAATGGAATTTTGTGACCCTTTTACTAGATAATAGTGATGATATGATACGATAGCTAATTTTACTGAGCACTTACTCTGTTCCAGGTACTGTGCTCAATACTCTACATGTATTACATCAAAGAGTAGCGTGCTTGAGAAATTAGGTAGTAAACAAATCTTAACTAGCATTTTAGTTCTTTTGAGTAATTACATGAGGGTTTTTTTTTCTGATTTGCCCTCCTCTGTATATTGTGTTTCAGTGTGTGACGAGCACAAGGAATTCAAGGATGTCAAACTCTTCTACCGCTTTAGAAAGGATGACGGCACCTTCCCACTGGACAACGAGGTGAAGGCCTTCATGAGAGGACAGAGGCTGTACGAGAAGTATGTTGCACGCGAAACCCCCACTGTAACCTTCACTTGGAGGGAAAAGCAGGGCTATTTTAGTCTTTTATCGTTTTGACTTCAGCCTGGCTCTTCCATGTGGGGTGGTTACATAACTGTTCCTTTAATAATGAGGAAATTTTATCACTCACTTGCTTTTCTCTTCTCCAGAAATTAAGTCAGTTTCATAAGATTCTTAACAAAGGATGTATTTAAATAGTATTTTCTATATTGAAGTCGATTTACCAAAACTCCACAAGTAAAAACAAAAGGTTGGAAGCTTGATGTTTGCCATCAAATGATGAAATACTGTTGCGTAACTCGGAGGCTGAGTCCTGTCCATGGCTAGAGATGCCGTGTCAAGTGCAGTGGAAGTTCAAGTCGAGGTCAAGAAATGAGCAGGGAGAGAACTTCAGAGAGCAGAGTGATCTATGAGGGAAAACCCCTCAGCTCTTTGAGAAGCGAGTCTTCTGTCGCCCCGGAAGAGTGTTTGGTTGCTGGGTCTGGAGCCCCCACAGTGGTCTCCGAGCCAGTCTGCTGTGGATCCCCTTCCACCCTTCCTTCCTTGCTTGTTTGCTTTTCCTCCCCGGGGCAACCAGAAGAGAAAGGAGCACAGGAGCAATGGCACCCCGTCTTAGCTCTGGTTGCCTTTCAAGGTTTCTGGGAGTTGAAATAGTGTACTTATCACATTAAAGAGCCCACCCTATCATGGGTGGGTTGGTGCACGGGGGAGAGGGCCCAGGGGGTTGGGTCAAGTAGCATGATGGCTAAGAGCCAGACAGGGCTGGGTTCTAGCCCTGTCACCTTGGCTTTGTAAACCTCAGTGTCTTCTTTTTTGACGCGGGAGTAGGGATAGCTCCTTCCTCCCCGGTGTGTGGCTCTGTGTGGGAATGAAAAGAATAAGTTGTGTCAAGTACTCAAGTATTTTAGCTCATTAATTCTTGCTTGTTGTTAGACCCCACTGATGAAAACCAATTCGGTTACTCACATGATAGTGACGGCCACCCGAGATTCTGTCCCTCCGGTATCCTGCCTCCGTCCAGGTTCTGGGCGCCTCTGTTTTTCAAGCTGGGATTGTCCTTAACGCTCAGTATGTACCAGTTCGCCAGTCACGTGCTGTCTGTATTGAACTGTAGAGAAACTCTCAACTCTCTGACTCACACGAATTTGAATGGAAGGGACCCATGGATACCTCCATTGTCTACCTAACTGTGTATACAAGTTTTATTACTGTTTCTTTTCCTTTCTTAGTTCCTTTTGGAGAATTCTAGCAGGTGTGAGGTATTTAGAGTACCATGTTGGTCCCTTCCAGGAGTGTCCAACCTTTTGGTATCTCTGGGCCACACTAGAAGAAGAAGAGTTGTCTTGGGCCACACATTAAATACACTGTGACACATAAACACAAAAAAAATCTCATAGTGTTTTAAGTAGATTTACGATTTTGTGTTGGGCCGCATTCATAGCCATCCTGGGCTGCATGCAGTCCGTGGGCCATGGGTTGGACACCCCTGCATAAGATTCTATGTTGTTGAAAACATACATGTCACTTTCAAGGAAGGAAGCCAGGGGGTTCTGTGATCCTCTTCTGCAGCTGCAGTTTATCTCCTGGGATCTGGGTAACAGCACCATGGGAATTGGGGTTAGCAATAACTGAAATGTCTGATACAGAACTATTCTTGCTATGGGCTGGGTAATGGGTATGGTGGCAACACCAGAATAAGAAAAGATAAAGAAAGTGGTCGTGCCTCCTAGAAAACAGACTTCCCCCAGCCCCACCTTCTTTTGCTTCTCCCCTCCCATCCTATGTGATGTTGGTGCTGTACTACGTGCCTGTGGACCATCCTAGTGCCTTTAGGCCCTTTATTAATTCATTTATTATACAACAAAAGTCCACTGAGCCCTTAACTGCATGCCGAGCATGATTACAGGCTCTAGAAACATTCCATGAACCCAAAGACAGACAAAGGCTCTGCCCCAGTGGAAGAGGTAGACGTTAAATGGGCGTCACACGAAGAAGAATGAAGTAGAATCCATGGTTTTCAGTGCTGGAAAGAAAAAGAGACTTCCTGAAGGTGGTGAGGTATCGGAGAGAAGAGGGTCAGGGGAGACATTCCCAAAAAGGTGGCGTTTGAATGAAGTGAGCCCTGCAGATAGGGGGCTCAGCAAGGGCAAAGGCTTGGAAGCAGGAACGCGCTTGGTGTGCCTTGTGTCAGTAAGCAGGCCAGAGTGCCCAGAGAGAGCAGGAATAAGGGAGAAGAGCAGGAGATGAGTTGGGGCCAGATCACGCAGGACACTTAAGGCTGTGATATGAATTGAGGATTTTATTTGAAGTGTAATGAGAAATCATGGCGAGCAGGGAGCAGAGAAGTGGCTCTTCCATAAGACTCCCACCCCTTTCCCTAGCTCTCTCCGACTCTTCAACAGCCTCACACACTTGCCTGCTCTGTGACCTTCAGCAGGCTGCCGAACCTCGCTGGTCTGCAGTCTTGAATGGAGACACGGCAGGGACCCACATGGAAAGGCTGCTGCGGGGATTACATGGAACAGGGTCTGTACAATGCCAAGCACAGTGCTCGACTCAGCGTGAGAGCCCACGGAATGTTAGCTGTCGCTCTTGGCCTAGTAAACAATAATATAAATGAATGGCACCTGTTATTTTTATATTATTTTAAATTTAGCCTAGCATAGCCTTGAGGAGTCGGGAAGCCAGGGGACCTGGATGTGAATCCTAGTTCTTGTCTTTTGGGCGTGTGGTTTCACGTCTCGGGAGCTCCGTTTGCCCATCTAGTGGGTGGAGAGGTGGACTGTGTCGACCTCATAGGCTTCTTGTGGACAGTAAGTGAACTACTTTTTGTAAGCACACGGGACGGCGCTGACCTTAGCGTGATTGCATCCTGTTGCTCACCCCTGCTGCCAGCTGGAAGGGAGTGTGAGAGAGAGGGTGTGTGCTCCTGGATCACAGCCCAGACTTTGTCATTTTGAGGAATTCATCTGAGCATATCCAGGGCACAGTGCCCTTTCATCAACAAGGTTTCAGTAAACCTTCGCTCTGGCCTGAAGATGCGCAGAATAAGGCACGACTTCTCTCCAGGAGGGGCTTCCGGTTCCCCACTCAGTTTCACATAAACACCAACATCCCAGACACACAGCCATACACATAACTCACATTCTCCTGAACAGTACAGTTTCCAGTTTTCAAGTAAAACTTTGTAAGCAGGATAAATACGTGTAACTTAAAAGAACAACAGAGAATCATCCTCCTTTCACATGGTAGAAGATATTTGGGGTGCCCGCACCAAACTACAAAACTTGATTATGTTTTCAGCAGTTAGCAAAATGAATGCCTTTGAGAAAAAAGTTGAACTAAGGATTTTTAAGTGTTCTATAGACCGATAAACAGAATTAGCTATAAAAAAGAATGCAAGTTTGAGGAACAATTTGGACCTTCTATGCCAAAACTAGTAGTTGAAATGCTCATTTTAAACTAAAATTTCATTCAGACATAGATCTAAGAGATTTCTCAGCTCTAATTTCACCTCAGTCTTAAATGGAGTTAATGCCCTTCCACGTCTGGTACAGAAAGACATTAGCTTAGTTGTTTATCTAAAGGGCTTTTGGTTTTCTCAACAGTAGGAGCTGTCTCTCCAGCCTCTGGAAGTCTATTTTTTCAGCCTAGAAGTGTCGACCTGATTGAAGAATTGGTTTAAATGCCTGTATGCCGTTCAATCTCTGTTGAGTCCCTACCGCTTCTATTATATTCTCTCCTCCACAGATGGAAGAGAAATATAAGGGAGAAACTGTCCAAAGGGGAGAGGCCCTTTTTCGTGTTTTATCTTATCAGAGGTTTCTCTACCATGTGGCCCTCGGATCTTTTTCCTGTTCCCTCCCAGTGCCTGGCGCAATAAATATTTGCTGAGTGAACAAGGGACTCTGCAGGCTGTGATGGCTGTGAGTTGCCGAGCTCCTACCGTGACAGCGAAAGAGAGCTTGCTTTTAATGACAAGCAGCGACAACAAGAGGTGTGCCTTTGTCTTGCCTCTTCAGAGTTTACAAAGCATCTTATACACTAACATGTTTGGTCCTCTGTGAGCTATACCCAGCAGGCACCATTAATCCCACAGTAGAGATGGGGGTGGGGCATGAGCTGGAGAGAGGTTTAATGAATGATGTCACCCTAGATAAGGAAGCTGGAGTGAAAAAAAAAGTCTCCAAGCTTTTGACTCCATCTTGTTCCATCTCTGGTATAGACGTGTTTTTCAGACTGAGATCCTGAGTTCTGCAAACTGATTCAAATTCTGTGTGCAAAATAGGTTTTAATTATTTTGCAGACTTTAATAAAAATACTCTCTAGTATGTTTTGTAGAACATTTTCAGTTTACCTGTGCTGCGCAATTCATCAGTAGCTTCATAGAATCTTGCAATAAATGAGTTCTGCCTTTTCCGTTTATTTGAAGAGTGTCCAGAGATTGCAGTGTAAGTGTGTTAAAAGTTGTTACTTTTTGCAGCCGCTTAGCTGAGTGACAGGGGTTGATTATGACACAGCATAACTAATTGTAAGAACTGTTAAGTGTCCTGACAGTTTATCCTGTCTGCAAGAGAACAAATGTGTTGGCCGTCATTTATTGCATGGATGCTGGCAGGAGACACAAGACCCCTGGGTTAAGGACCAAGGATGGTTTATTACCTTTAGCAGTAGTACTAGAGTATCATCATTTTCTGGAACCAGTTCTCCAAGCCTTGGTTCCCACGGAACAGTACAGCACCTGCCTGGGCTGGGTTGCACAGAAGAGGAATCCCAAGCTGAGGAACCTGAATCTTTTGTAATAGTCTTTAAGCAGACCTGCTCTCTGGCCTAGAAGGAGACATTATCTGTGTTATACTGGACCATAGGCAGATCCGCCCCTTTGTTCCAAAGGGGAGACACCACCTTTATTTTCCCAGGCTATTCATTATGCAAACAGCTTTGAAAAGATAGTCTAGAACATAAGTTGTAGTGCCTC